GATGCAGCCTACAAAGGAGATGGTTCTGTCTTCCACAACCAAATTCTCCAACAGTTTGGGTGTAACTGTGGTGGAATAACAGAAATCGACAAAGGACAAGTGGCTGAGGAAAAAGTACATGGGGGTGTGGAGTCGGGGACTGACCCTGATGATCATGATCATGCCCAGGTTCCCTACCACAGTGACTGTGTAGATGGTCAAGAACACCAATAGCAAGGGAACCTGGAAGTCTGGATATTCCGAGAAGCCCAAGAGGGTGAATGTGGCTCCAACACTCTGATTGCCTTCTGCTAACAACATGATGGTTGTCGGAGAAAGACCTGAAATAAAATAAAATAGTAGCAATGATAACAACAATCACACATTTCTATGACATTTGCCTTGTGGCAGGTATTGTGCTAAAATATTAAAATATATTGATTCAGATCTTCCAATAACACTGTGAATTGTAAAACAAGTAGTCTCATGTTTTACTTAAGGACAGGAACTTACTAAAGTTAAGGAACTTGTTTGAGGTTACATGGCTTACGAGCAGGGGTTATGATTTCATAAACTGAGTAACAGAACATGAATTAATTTAGGGACAGAGAGAAAACTACTGTACATTGTTGTAGAAAATATGTATCTCTCACAGTTCTGTCATTCTGAGGATGTGTGCTTTTTCAGTTCACTAACATAACAATGCAAATAAGCTTAGCACTCAAAATTTTAAAAGAAGGGTCAGAAGTAAAACGTTAGAGGCAATAATGCCTCTACAGTCAGGATGTTCAAATGGAAGCTCATAGGGAAGGCAGCCCTTAGAAGCCACCACAAGAATTTTCAAATTTTCAAAAAATACGGGGATATAGACAGAACATAGTCCTGCCTCCTTATGCTCAAGCTTTCCACTGATTCTATCCAAATCTCCTCAGTGTTCCAAAAACAATGTAGTAACCTGGTAAAATAAATAAAATTGCATTTGTGTCATGCAGTCCCCTCACTCCTGTGTTTTCTTTCCTACTTAACTGTATTCTCACGTCACCGATGCTTTCAACACACTCATCTAGATTCTATAATTCTACCTTGTAACTATTAGTATTTAATCTGAAAATGTTATTATTCATAATAATATTAAATACTTGTAGAATATCTGAATTGGAGAACAACTTAAAATGTGTTTTGCTCAAGCCTCTCCAGCTAGAGAATAAGGCAGTAAACACCTATGGTTACATAATCACCCGGAAAATTTCTAGTGGGGACATTGGTTTTGATTAAAGCCACATACATGATTACCTTGTTGTGAGTCATACAGTCTTTGTTTATTTGTACCTGCTATTTTGAGAAACCAAAGCACCTTGTGTTCACAAGCAGTTCATAACCACATAAGTATCTTTAATCATTTAACAGTAATTAAAAAAATAAATTAACCAGTAACAGGCACATGTTTGAAATGTTTAGATTTAAAAAGTCTGTATTAGCATGAGATTTTCATAAATAAAGACACTATTTTAGTTTTTAAAAACTATTACCTCCTTCATCACTAAATGCTATTTGTTGATACTTAAGAAAATGTATTTTCTGTGTGCAGAAAAGGAATGGGTGGGAGAGTGACAAAGAGCTAATGAAAGAAGCATGTGCTTGGAACCTAGATTTAAATTCAATTTGAGGGTTTATCATTTACTATGTAATCTTTGGTGAATTACTCAAATTCTCTGAGCCTCAATTTTGTCAGTAATAATGAAGTGATGATACATATTGTACTAGTGTCTAAGTATTAAATTAGGAAATGATGTTCATGTACTTACCACAGAGTCTGAAAATTATGGAATCCGGGCGATGTGGGTTTATGCACTCTCCCTCTTTAAAAAAAAAAAATTCTTAGTGCTATGACTAATTAATATTATTTTTAAGCTGTTACGCTATTAAAAATAATCTAAGAAACAGATCAAGGGCCAAAGTGGGCAGCAATAGACACGTGGGTATAATTTGAGACTCCACGGGGAAGCCCAGGTTTCCTTCCTGAGTCTCCTCTTCACCCTGTTTCTCTTATTTTTGCCAATTAACGTCCTTCAGTAAGTTCTCTCTGTTTCCCCCTTTGCTTTCTCATTATTGTCTGACACTTTCTTATCCTCCCTCCCTATTCTCAGGTTGGCACCTATGGGAATTTAGCAAACTGTCATCATTGCTCAGGTGGATTATAGCCGCCGAGGCACAGCCAGCCTTCCCGTAGTGCTGCTAGCTTGTGTAGCGAGAACATCAAATTCCTCTTCCCTTGATTACTGTAGCTGTTAGGACCCTCTTTAGCTCTGAAAACTCGGATTTCTTGCCATTAGCTAATTCATCAAATCTAAATGTCTCTGCTCAGTTTTGCCTAAAACCTGACCCTAACCATGCCCTAGCACCCAACCTTGTTTCATGCCAATATGATAACACATGGCCATTTATCTGGCTTACTTGATTTTTCTTTGACCTGACATAACCTCTTTTCTCTGGTGTACTGATGCCCCGCTTGCAACAAATGCAGCGTTAAGTGAAAACTACTATCACAAAGAAACCCTGTTTCCACCTTCTTGGCATACCTACAGACATTACAGAAATCAAAATTTCATGACCTATTGTGTTCACTCTTACGTTATACATATGATTCTTATCTCTTTCTATGAAATCTTGAGATGTTGAGGACAATCTCAGATTTATAATATTTTTCTTAAATTCTCAGTGTGACTATGCTATGCTAGGCACATGGTGGATATCCTCAAGGTGAAAATGGGGGTGATACTCTAGAGAAGAGGCAAGAAATAAAAGCTCAACAATATGAGCTTTCAGAAAGATGAACTCTAGAGATATCATAAAATTTAGACTAATGAGGAGGGTTCCCTGTCTCAAAGGTTGTAGGACTTCAATGTCCTCCATATAAATAAAAGACTACACAAAATAGATCGCCTACCTGAGATCAACTCACCTGAAGATCCTGTCCCTGTTATTAAGAGTATCCAAGAAAGTTTCCACTCAGAATTCAAACATCATTAAAAAATATTGAGAAGTTGGTAAATATTGCAGGAGTAGACAATAATGTTTAATTAATGTGACAGGAATGTTTTTCTTTTTAGTATCCAGAAAAACTAACTCAGAGACAGGTAAGAGGGATGGAGGAAAGGAGAGAGAGGGAGAGAGAGAGGGAGAGAATCTGACTCATAGGAACAAAATGTAGGGTTTATGTATGCCTATATGACCTCAGGGATTCAGACCCTGGAGAATTTGTACTGAACTATTTCTTTTCACATCAAGAAACTCAGAAATTGGATTGAATGCTAGCTTGTGTGGCATTTTACAAGAATGCAATTTCTTCTAAATCACAGGAGACAATGTTTCATCAAGCCTACCTCATAAATTTCCTCTATAAACATAATTATAGAAAATATACAGATTGACTTAGAAAATATGGTGACTACAGTAAACACAAGAAGGATAAACCATCCAATATGAAACCATTCAGCAATAACTACTGTTAACATTTGCTATGTGATTTTTCTCTTTTTCTCTGCATAATGTGTTTGTCTTGAGATGTATAAACAACATAATTTGGATTCTAGCTTTTTCATTTGACATAAAATAATCGTTTTTGTCCATGGAAATTCTTATTTACTCCATTGAAACTAAATTTTTACAATATGGAAAATCTATTCTTCCAAGGTTATATTAATACGATTTTTTGTGTTCATATATTCTTAAAAATCACAAATGTATTTTGAAAGTTTGTTTCTTTCTAAAACCAGTGGGTGTCATCCAATCCATTAGTTCTACTTTACCTATGTAAATGTTACCCTATTAGATCCATTTAACACTTTCCCTGGGCCCCTGACAACCTGACCAACTCTTGGGCCGACTCTACCGGAACCCCAACATAACAGAGGCTATTAATCACAAGGAGTAGAATTATTTACTGTAGATGACATGGCCTTGCTCCAGAATCTCTGAGGTCTTCATTGTTATTCTCCCACTGAGATTGGCATCACTCCTACACTGCCTCTGCTTCCCACCACTGACACCTCTCTGCCCTGGGAATGTGAATTGTTTCTGATTTCCCTTTAAAATTAGAAAGGGGGAGGCACCTGAGTGGCTTAGTCAGTTAAGCATCTGATTCTTGATTTCGGCTCAGGACATGAAATAGAACCTCACATCCTCAATCAATGGGGAGTCTGCTTGGGAGTTCCTGCCCCTCCTCTGCTCACACACATCTCATTCTCTCTCTTTCTAATAAATAAATAAATAAATCATAAAGAATAAAAAATAAATAAAATTAGAAAGGAAAATAATACATTTGGCAAATCAATGATTGCACACAAAGTGTCTTAAGCCATATTTGTCTGCACAAAGGCTACTATTTGATTGTTTTCCATGGTCTGTGGTTATTTTCCAAGATGCATCTGGTTTTGCTCTACTTGAAGAAGTCTTCTTATGACATTTTTTTCCTGACAGTCACCAGCTTTTTCCTTCACATTCAGATTTCTGCTGGTTCTGGGAACAGGCTGAGCAGGTTTGGCCCTTGCAGAGGGACAATACTGAGAAAATAATCTAGCTGTGATGTGTAGACACAAGAGAAATTTATCTAATAAATTTATATAAGAATTTACGATACGTTAAAAACTAAAGAAACCCTAAACTCATGACCAATTTTCCCTACAGGGCATTTATTGTGTTCTAGGATTCTGTGGAAGGCTGGGTATCTGAACCAGAAAGGTAGACTGAAACGCCCTAAAGAAATTTCATGGTGCTTAAGGAAAAAAAAAAATCAAAAAATCTCACTAGAGAATTGAGACCTTCCACAAGGGCTTGACCATCTCACATCTCTCCCTTCATAATGTTTGTTGGGCTATTAAGCTGCATGGGGCAGCAGAAGGAAGAACTACACTCCAATACCAGAAAGATGGAGCACAACTATTGCCCACTTTCAGATCTGAGAGAACTACATACTGCTTAGTTCTCAATCAAAAGCCAACCACACTTGAGGAACAGGGGTGAATCACAGGATGGCTGGTTTTGTGTGTCATCCTTGCACAGGGGCCATGCTAATCCTCTCTGTATTGTTCCAATTTTAGTATATGTGCTGCCGAAGCGAGCACAGGATGGCTGATTTTGATGGTTTCTTTGCTAATCACCAGAAGGCTTCTTTTCCCTTTTATATCAGCAGGCATTCTAGGACTTTTATGACAAATCGTTCTTCTAATTTTCCTCTGTTTAAAGCCAAACATACCTGTTTTGTCTCCCTGACCAATTTACTCTGCCTCTCTCTGTCTTTCATGAATAAATACTGTCTTTTTTTTTAAATCTGTTATAAAATTTCTTAGTGGTAAAAGATACTGCTAAGAAAATAAAAATGTAAGCCACAGGCTGGGATTAAATATTTGCCATATATATATGTTTGCCACATGTACATATATGTATGTGTATATATACATGTTTGCAAAGGTTTTGTTTGTAGAACATATAAAAAACTCTTTATACTCAAAATAATGGACAATCTAGTTAAAAATAAAATATTTAAGCTGACATGTGACAAAACCAGACATACTAATCATCTATAGATGCATGAAAAGATAATAAACATCATTAATCATCAGTGAAATTCTTATTAAAAACACAGTGAGGTACCACTGCTCATCAGTATGAATGGCCAATATAAAGAAGCCTGAAATGTTATATATTGGTGAAAATGTGGAGCAAGTAGTGTGCTCACCCATTTCAGATGGGGGTAAAAGATAGAATGACTTTAAAACAGTGTAGCTGGGATCCCTGGGTGGTGCAGTGGTTTAGCGCCTGCCTTGGCCCAGGGCGCGATCCTGGAGACCCGGGATCGAATCCCACATTGGGCTCCTGGTGCATGGAGCCTGCTTCTCCCTCTGCCTATGTCTCTGCCTCTCTCTCTCTCTCTCTCTGTGTGACTATCATAAATTAATTAATTAATTAATTAATTTAAAAAAAAACAGTGTATCTGTGTCTTCTGAATTTATATGAACACTTCCCACACACTTTAACAATTCACTTTCTAGCTATTCATCCATGAGAAATGAAATCCACTGTATTTAACTGAAGAGAAAATTGTTCTGTCTGGTGTATGCATTAATATATGGAATAGAAGAGTAAGTAAAGCAACGTATAACATATACTTTTGCCCTTTTATAAACTTTTTATTAAAGATTTTATTTATTTATTCATGAGAGACACATATAGGCAGAGGGAGAAGTCTCCCTGTGGGGAACCTGATGAGGGACTCAATCCCAAGACCCTGGGTCATGACCTGAGCCAAAGGCAGATGCTCAACTGCTGAGCCACCCAAGTGTCCCCATGCTTTCATTAATTTTTTTGACTTTGTTCCTTTCAAAAGTGATTTTTATAGAAGGACTAGCTTTTCTTTCATGAAGAGCTGTCTCTATAGACCTCTTAGAGGTAGACAGGAGATGGCAAGAAAGATATGGAATATTTTTGTCACATTAACAGGGAGAAATTTATATTGATTTATGTAAAGAAAATATGGTACTATATAGATACAAGTGCTGAAGTATGTAAATCTCCTGCATTTTACCTTTGATGACCTTCTTATACCAAGATTTTGATAACTGTACTGATGAGGCATAAAAGTATCCATGTAATTATCCTTTTGAGATTCAAAGTAAGGGTGCGGTTTGTTTATAAAAGAGTGATTTTCAAATTGTTATTAATTTTGAAAAAATAAAAGACAGACACTGCACAGACCCAAGTGCCCCTTTACAACAGTTTTTTAGGTTGATGAAGTTTTTTTATCAGTTTTTTGAAGATCCATCAGTTTTGTATTTTATCTAAAAAAATTATCACACCTAATTTCAAAAAATATTTTCTTTGTTTTACTCTAAAATTTTCTAGTTTTAATTTTATGTTCAGAACTTTGATCCATTTCACTGAATTCAAGTTAATCTCTGTGTGTGGTATGAAGTAAGAGTTAAGCCTCCTTGAGACGTCTGGGTGGCTCAGTGGTTGAGCGTCTGTCTTATGCTCAGGGTGTGATCCCGAGGTCCTGGGATGGAGTCCCGCATCAGGCTCCCTGTGAGGAGACTGCTTCTCCCTCTGCCTATATCTCTGGCTCTCTGTGTCCCTCACAAATTAAAAAAAAAAAAAAAAAGAGTGAAGCCTCTTTTATCCTTATGGATATCTAGTCTCTCCACACTGCATGTTGAAAATCATCATTTTTTCCATTGAATTATAATGACCTATCCAAAGAAATTTGAAGCACCAGATATGCTTGGATCCATTTAAATTTTCTCAAATAAAAGTCAGCTTCTACAATTCAATACCACAAATAGCAAAAGTTTGGCTGACATGAGGTGCAGTGAGCTGAAACATTGCTAAAGCCATCTCTAGAATAGGAGCAGCCTGATTGCAATTCTAGGGGAACCATTCTAGATCTGCATATATTTGATGAACTGGCAATTAGTTTTATTTTGGAAACATATATATAAAATTATACAATCTGTTAAAATGTCTTTTAAAATTACAAATATTACATAATACGATCAAATATTTTTATTTTTTAATTTTGGTTTACAAGTCTGGAGATATTTCAGTAAAATTAATATACACAAAAATCAATATTTGTAAAATGTACAACCGTAGACATATTAACTCATAGCCTTAAAAAGTGATTTTAATCAACTACACCATAAGAGTTGGACAATCTCTAGCATCGTAAATTAGGTTTTTTTCAGAAATAGAGTAACGAATCTAACAATATTATATTGAGTGACAAAGCAATTTTGCGACCACTAGTCTTCTGAATGTGTCTTTCACAGCTTTGTTCCTAAGGCTGTAGATCAAGGGATTCAGCATGGGAATCACCACTGTGTAAAACACACATGCCACTTTAACTGTGAGCCAAGAAGTTTTAGGATTAGGGACACAGTAAAGGAAAAGGATGGTCCCATGGAATATGGTGATGGCTGTCAGGTGAGAGGCACAGGTGGAAAAGGTTTTCCGGCGCCCACTTGCAGAAGGCATCCTCATAACAGTGATAAAAATGAGTATATAAGACATCAGAATAATCATCAGGCTGCTCACCTCATTGAATACGGCAATAATAAAACACAGCATCTGGCTGATATAAGGGTCTGAACAGGAGACAGAAACAATTACAGAATGGTCACAGATGAAATTATTTATGATGCTAGACTCACAAAAGGATAATGCAAGAAGAAAATATGTGAGTGTCATGGAACAGACTATACCCCATGAGTAAGACCCAGCTACCAGCAGAGTGCAAAGCTTCTGAGACATAGTAGTGGTATACAGCAAGGGGTTACAAACTGCTACAAAACGGTCATAGGCCATCGCTGCTAACATAAAAGTTTCCGTGACTCCAAATAGGCAAGCAAAGCAAAATTGCATAATACAACCAGAAAAGGAGATGGTTCTGTCTTCCACAATCAAGTTCTCCAACAATTTAGGTGTAACTACAGTGGAATAACAGAAATCTACAAAGGACAAGTGGCTGAGGAAAAAGTACATGACCGTGTGGAATTTAGGATTGATCTTGATAATTATTATCATGCCCAAATTTCCCACAGTAGTGACCATATAGATAGACAAGAAAACTAGGAAGAGAGGAACCCGGAGTGTTGGGTATTCTGAAAAACCCAAGAGAATAAATGTGGGTATGATACTTTGATTTCCTTCAGGTAACATCATGATTCCTGTTGAATAAAGAACCAAAAGTTATTTCTGAAAGGTAGAACTGAATGGGAAGGTGAACCAGAGAGCTAAGAGGCTTCATAACCTCTGTGAAGTTGATATAGGATGGTGACTTTCAAAGTATGGTCAGTCCCCCAAATCAACAGAAGCACGAGCACCTGACAAGTTGTTAGGGCTGCAAATTCTCTAACCCTATCACCACATTCTGAATCAGACACTCTAGGATGGGGCTCGCTATTCTTGATTTAACCAGTTCTCCAGGTGATTTTGATGCCTGCTAAATTATGGGGATCACTGGTATATGAAATATATATATATATATATATATATATATATATATATAATCATTCTATTATTTAAAATTCAGCCCTTGTTAGTATCATTACTGCTGAACTGAAATATAAATTTAGAGCATGAAAGGAATTGTACAAAATGGGAGGGAGAGAGGCAGAAAAGTAGCACAAAATACTTTGTTATGGTTCTAAGAATTATACCAAGGGTCAAGATCACTTGGCACTGCAAATGGTGCCACATAAACCTCAGTATTAATGGTTTTTATCTATTCAGTGTTTTCTAGGCATTATACAGGATTAAATACTCCTGGAATTTAGGAGTTGGAATAAACCTTAAAATGTATCTAGTTTGTACCATCCACCTAATGCTTGACAATCCATTACAGACCTATTCATGAATGAGCATCTGGTTTCCATCAAAACTTCCACTATGGTGTCCTACCTCCAGAAGCAGTTTTGTAGGTCTCCTATTAACATTTTGGTCAGCATATATTCGTTTATTAATTAAATTTAATTCATATTTCATTAACGATTAATGTGCCTTAGGTCATCCGTTCTGTTATACATTTTAAGATCATAAATACATAATTAAATTGTATATACATGCTTTTTTGAGAAACAGAAGTATCTTATATTCAGTAACAATAGCTCCATATAAAATATGTTCTATGACACAATGAAAATTACACATGTTTTTGACCAATAGAAGTAAGCCCTCTCCTATAATGAGGCAAACTTGGGAAAAATTAGGAAGTAAGAGAAGTAGGCACACAAAGTGAAAGGTCCCACGTCTATGTCTTGACAACAGAATTAGGTGAGTTATCTGTGTCATCTTAGTTTGCCTGGAAGAATCAGGTTCCAGACTCAGCAACATGAGTGCCTACCTTTACACGTACCGCAAGAAACCCACACATGGAGTATCCATCATCAGCATATTCTTTCCAGCAGTAGGTGGGACCGGGCAGATATAGTCTAAACATCCATTATTATTCAGGCTATTTTAATAAATGTGTTCCCTTCAACATTTGACCATATTAGCAAAACCCTGGTTTATTAGGGAGATTGCTACTACTGTTTTGGCTTATTGGCAAATTATTAGGTCGCTAACAAAA